GGGGGGGGGGTAGAGCAGTCGCCTAACAAGGACCACGCCCTGGGTTCCATCCCAAGCAGTAAAGGGAAAAGTTGTGGGAGGGAGAGACCACAGTCCATTTTTATATGGCACCATCCACTTCCAATTTCTGATCTAGGGAATAGTGACCTCATGCATACTATGGACCACTCCTGGGGTTGTTGTGAGGGCAGATGAGTTAACTTTTGTCAAAGACCAACAAAGGTCCAGGCTTGCTCTGAGCACCAGTTGCAAGCCTTTCCAAAGGCCCACGTCCACAGCCAGTTACTATTACTGGCTTTATCCCCAATGCTTGGGGACATGTTTTGAAAACATTAAAATAGGTGAGAGCTATAGAACTCAGTTCAGAGACTTGTTCGATTTCTGTAGCTGTTGGAGACACAATTATGAAATGCCACGCTATCCCCATGCATGAAATTAAAACAGATTATTAATTTCTCAGCAATTGTCACACCACATTGCTGAAATAGTCACCTTGGCTGCAGGCCCCCGAACCCAGAGGAGTCGGGAACACGTAGCACTGAGATTTCTGCACAAAGGATGACTTCATTTAATATGCCAGACGCCACCACAAACAAGACTTTGATTTCCGCACAAACAGGGCAGTCCCACACGACGACCGCCTAGCCTGCTATTAACAATAAATAGGAACAAGAGGGGAGAGACTCGGCGCCCCCGCCTCAGGAGGCCGAGCAGTACCTGTCTCCGTCTTGCTGGCGAAGCCTGCTGCCTGTTTGATCGCCGCCGCTGTGAGCGCCAATCCTCGGCTCCTCTTCAAGCCATGCTGCAGGACGGCTTCCAGCTGGGCGCAGAGGCAGGTAACCCTGCGGGAGAACCGGGCACTCAATCAGCCTTATGAAGGGAGCAGCCGGCAGGGGGCCCAGCCTCATGGGGAGTGAGCCCCAGGTGTGAACCTCCACGTGCAGGTAAACAGGAGACACCTGGAGGTAAGGCAGGGGGCCTGGTAAGCAACCCGGGCCACTCCTTGTGGGCACACACAGAACTCCAGGAAGTCCCTGACCCTCCTCACCTTCATCAGACTCTTGAATACATAGTAACTGCACACGGAAGGAGAAATCCGGCCCATTTAAAAACAAATCACATGGATGTGAAGGGGGTGGGGGGCCTTCATTGTATCCAACTGGCAAGTTCCAACTACAATTCCTATCACCCTGTGGTTGAAGGAACACAATTACATTTTCAGAGCCTGGATTCACCAGCCTACCAAATTGGAAACATTGTGTAATTTCATGGCCTGTTACTTAGAGAAGAGAAAAAAAAAAACATGAATTCTGATTCTTGTTCTTTATTTTTGTTATGAGATTACATTGGGAACTCAGATCCAGAGGTGGCAAGTTTTTCAATTAAGTTACAATTACTGCACATTTAATTGAATTTATTTCTCAGAAAACAGAAACGGGAAATCTGGGAACGTTGTCTACAGAGAAATAAGGTCAGAGCCACCACATTCAATTCTTAGCAACACTCAAAGGGCTCCTGGGCCACTACCCAATTGGGTCTTAGGCCTTCAAAACCCTTCCACTTGCTCATGCAAACAAGGGTAAGAAATCTTGAATATCTCCCATGTGCTAGGCTCTGTCTAGACTAAGAATACAAAGGTCTCACACCTTACTGCATCTACACATCTATGCCATGCTAGAAGAGGAGATGAACAAATAAGCTAACCAGTCCATTCAGTTAATGAGAACACAGAAGAAAATTAAACAGGATGACAAGGCAGGTGGGGATGGGGCAAGGTCACACAGATTCGGTGGTTTCTGGGTTACAACTTGGACGTGACTAGAGACAGCAGACTGGAGAGAGGGGCCCAGTGCAAAGGTCCTGAGGCCACTACCACCTGGCTCAACTCTGCCTAACCACAAGGATTTCCTGCTCCCAACCACACCTGAAGTAATAATGCTGCACTTGTTTCTCTCTGTGGGTGGCAAAACATTTTCATACCTATTATTTCACTAGTTCCTCCTATCCAAATTATGACACAGGTGAGGCAGGTATTATTATCTCCATTTTACACATGAAGAAATTGAGGCTTAAAGACACTTGTGTGACCTTCCAGAGACAATGCACAACAAGTGGCAAGATCTAAAAGACAGGCCACCCCACAAGCTGATCCACCACACCCCCACAGGACATTCTAACTCGGAAGACATACTACCCCACATTGACACAACCCTCTGTGCTGGGAAAATGTCACGCAACATTAGATGTACTTTTGCTAGTCTCTCTACCTATATTTGAGGGCTTCCTAAAACCTAGGATACCCACCAAACTCCCTAAGTTCTACAGGAATAAAAAATGGGGCCAAAACATAAGCCCTATCTCAGGAAAAACAAGCAACCAACCTTGGACTGTGTTTAGGCTCCTCTGTAACTAAACAAACCTCTCCAAATACAACAATCCATTTAACAACCCCTGGCAATTCTCTTGGCTCCAAAGCACAGGTCAGTGACTGCCCTGCAGCTCTAGATAAAACCTGGCACTTATGGGGAGTGGAATGAAGGCCAGCAGCTGAAGAGCACAAACAGTCCCTGAGGACTGGGGTCCACATCAGTACTGCCTCCCCGATGCACCCCACTCACAACCAAGCTAGCACGACAGAAAACCCAGGTGGACACAGGAGCACATCATGATGCCAGCCTTGCAGGAGCCATTCCTTCCAACACCCTCCCAGTCCCCTGTGTTCCCCCCCATTTTACCTGAGCTTGGTGCCTACTGGTCATTCCATACTTCTCAAGTGTCCCTTTCCTGAGTGCTTCCTCATTCTTGTATGTCAGCTCTTGCAACTCTCTGTGTCAATGATCTGACTTCTAAGGCATCTATTCTCTGCTGCACTATGGAGAATGTGACCAAATGGCCCCTCCCCTCAGGGGCCTCCCATCATGGACACACATTATGGACTTGATGTACATTTTGGTAAGTCGTGCATCTCAGAAGATGTCATGTAATTTTTAAACCAGATCCAGGAGGACACATTTGCCCAAGCCTATAGATCTTCCCTTAGCTTGTAGCAGGCATATTAAGGAGGCACTGATCTATAACCATGTCTGTCACCCAAGGTTTTCCATGGCTCCCTGTCTTTGCTCAGTTAGTTGACAATCCCTGCAAAAGCAAAGGAGCATCTGTTTTCATATGTCTCTTCATCTGCTCCGTCCAGTCCCTACTATTTCCCAGAATACTCTCTGCCAAATGCTTCTAATTTCACTGTGGCAGGCTGGCTGCCTCTATGGTATTTTATATCAACCTCCATTTCAAGGTAATGAATTGAAATGTTTTTAACTAAGCAGGGCACTTAGTTACAGTGAATATTCTAATGTTTAAAAAGCACCTGTCAGAAGTTGGGGCTGTGGATCAGCGGTAGAGTGCTTGCCTAGCATGTGTGAGGCCCTGGGTTCAATCCTCAGCACCACATAAAAATAAATAAATAAATAAATAAATAAATAGAGATATTATGTCCAGCTACAACTAAAACAATTATCAGCACCACATATAAATAAATGAATACATTAAAGCTCCATCAACACCTAAAAAAAATTTTAAAAGCACCTGTTAACAAAATCACTCCATGTTTTTATGCATACAGTTATTTACCAGATGAATAAATAAATAAAATGCAGCCTATCCATGCAATGGAATACTATTTGAGAACAAAAAGGAATAAAGTACTGATACATGCAATTACATGCATGAACCTTGAAAATGTGATGCTAAAGAAAACAGACCCCAAAAAAAACATTCACTGTATAACCCCATGAAATGTCCTGAAAAGGTAAACATACAGGAAAAAAGGCCATTTGTAGTTGTCTAGGGCTGGGACTGGGATCAGGGATCGGTGTAAACTGACACAAGGGAATTTAAGAGGATGCTGCAAATGTGGGGATGTTGCACAACTCTATAAATTTACTAAAAAATAAATTTATCGAATTTTTATTGAATTGTATACTACAAGGGATAAATTTTTGTGGTATATAAATTAGAACTCAATACAGTCGTTTAAAATGAAAAACTTTCCTGAAAGTGCTCAGGAAAAATCTGATGAGGAAGTAAAGGAATTAATGAATGGAAAATAAATAACTTCCTCCTGCTGAATTTAAAACTGTCCACCAACACCAGCATCACAGGACACTGCTGGAACTCAACTAGTTTACTGCTAAGATTCTGCGAGCATTTGTTTTCATGATCAATGTCTTGTATTTTCAAGACTGTTCAACCGGCGACCTTAATTTATTTATAAGATTCCTAAGAACAAGATGCAGTGGCATATGCCTGTAATCGAGGGGTTGTGGCTGAAGGATTGCAAGTTTGAGGCCAGCCTCAGCAAGTTCAAGGCCAGCCTGGGCAACTTAGCAAGGCCCTGACTCAAAATAAAGTTTAAAAAAGGGCTGGAAATGTAGGTCAGTGGTGGAACACTCACCTAACATGCTCGAGGCCCTAAGTTCAATCCCCAGCACCAGGAAAAAAAAAAAAAAATCCTCAGAATCCTGTAGTTTATATAGTAAATATTAGAACAGCAGGCAGGATCAGCAATTTTTTTTAAGTTGTTGATAGACCTTTATTTATTTTTATTTATTTATTTATTTATTTATTTATATGCGGTGCTGAGAATCGAGCCCAATTCCTCACACATGTGAGGCAAGTGCTCTACCACTGAGCCACAGCCTCAGCCCTAAATGCTGCATTTTTATAAACTGTCTCTAGTGATGGAAGAGCATATTTCAAATTGATTCTTTCACTACGTTACAGCTTTACTGGGACCTTTATGAGAAAACGAAGAACAATCATGAAAATGAATAAGATGATCTTCGCAAACCTCTATTGTTACCTGGAATGGAGTCTGTAGTACCCATAAAACTCATCCAATTAACAGCATTAGCCACATCTCAGATTTAAGATGGTATAATAATCAATTAGCCTTGCTAAATGACAGTCATGTGAAATGGGTCATGATTGTCATGGCCTACATGTATATTTTAAAAATTAAGTTTGCAAAAATGTTCACACACTTTGCCCATGAACTTCACTGACAGAAATCAATCCTAGACTATAATCTATAAGTCAGGTAGATAAAAAGATAAAGATAATACAAATTTTTTTTTAATATTATTTACACTAGTGGAAAGTTAGAAACCAGCTAAATATTTAATAATTGTGGAACTGGTTAAATAAATGTTAGCATATCTTATAATCAAATGCCATTTAGCCCTTAAACACATTTACCAAGAGCTTTATACAATATGCAACATTTATAATATAATGTAAAACAAAAAATGAGCAGGATATAAAGTTGTATATTAAGACTGTTCTCAACTGTGCTAAACACATACACAGTTCAGAAGGGAATTATGTTAAAACATGAAGAGCCACTGGTCAAAGAAGATAGGTCAGGTTTTTCTTGCCTTCACACTTTCTTGAACTTTCTAAAACAAGCATTTAAAAAAGTATTCATGCCACAAGAACCAGAAATACTGCTACCCGGAGGTATAAAGAATGAACAAATATGGATTAAAGGTTGTACTGAGTAAAAAATCATGCACCTATTTAAAATGCATGCAGAAATGGAAAAGAACATTATAAAAGCTTGAGCTACAATGTTAAGTGAAAAAAAAGCAGACCTACAAACAGGTATAAAAAGTGTTTCTAACCCACAAATTTTAAAATACTGCAATAAAAGGTTGACATCCAAGTTGATTTTTTTAATGTACAACTATAATGCACCAATAAAAATATGTAGGGGAAAAAAGGTAATTGTTTTAGGTAGACAAAATGAGGGAGAGGAGTTTCACTAGTAATAGTGACAAAGGCAAAA